AAATGGAGGAAGCCTCTCCACTACATGTTCAGGAATTTAGAACCATAAAAAGAGAATGGTTTGGAATGAGGTCTTATGAGCCACAAGCTTGATCTGCATTAGTACCTTCTGTTCTTGAAGAGAGATGAGCATGACCAGAGTGCCCTTCGCCACTTCTCAAGCGGTCCCTCAGGGCAGAGCCCAAGCAGTGTCCTCTGATGCCCCTTGTATCTTCCAATCATACCCTTGATGTCCCCTCTTGAGCCACGCGGAACCAAGATTCCACACCATTAGGTCCCACTGGGTGGACCAGTGTTCAAGATGGTGAGTGCAGCACATCATAACCCTGGGCAAGTCTGCCAGCAACAACAACAAGATTACATTTGTATAGCGCCTTTCATGTCAGGAGGACATCCCAAGGTGCTGGACAGAGTACAGCATTTCATAACCGAGCTGGGGTTAGGAGGGAGGGGAGGGGAAAGGGGGTGGCCGATGGCATAGTTGAAGGAGGGTCCTGAGGCGGGACTTGAAGGAGACTAAGGAGGCGGCAAGGTGGAGTGACCGGGGGATGGAATTCCAGAGGTTGGGGGCAGAGTAGCTGAAGGGGCTCTCCCGCCAATGGTGGGGCGGGGGACATGGAGCAGGCCGGAGCCAGCTGAGCGGAGGAACGGGCGGGTTGGTAGGGGTTTAGGAGGTCGCAGAGGTAGGGTGGGGCGAGGCCATGGAGGGCTTTGTATGTGAGGACCAGGATCTTGAACTGGATCCTCTGAAGGATAGGGAGCCAATGGAGTCGGGCGAGAATGGGGGAGATGGGGTCACGGAGTTTGGTGCGGGAGAGGACACGGGGTACAGAGTTCTGGATTATCTGCAGCCTGTGGAGGGAGGAGTTGGGAAGGTCAACAAGCAGGCTGTTTGCATAGTCGAGTCTGGAGGTGATGAAGGCATGAACAAGAGTTTCAGCGGCCTGAGGGGTGAGGTATCATCCACAAACAGATGCACAAACAACAATTCTGTCACAAAGGCCTGGAACAAGTTCACCAAGTTCATCCCCTTGATGCTATCAAACACATCAACAACTCATTTGTATCATCCTGGATGATCTGCAGCTTGTGGAGGGAAGAGTTGAGGAGGCTGGCAAGGAGGGAGTTTCTGTAATCGAGCCTTGAGGTTCGAAGATGTGGAGGGAGGGATGGGTAGGGATCAGCGTGTGTAGGGAGGGGGGAAGATGGGGAGGGTGGAGGCAGCTGATTGGATCCCCTCATTTTGGACTCAAGGAAATCCAGCATCGCCTCACAGTCAGAGTTTGAGGAGAGAATGGGCAAGGCGAGAGAGGGTGGATGGAGGAGCCAGGTGGTGGAGAAGAGGAACCTGGGGTTGTCCTTCGCCTCCAAGATTATCTTAATAATAATAATCCTTGCATTTGATATAGCGCTTTTCACATCGGGAGGACGTCCCAAAGCGCTTCACAGAACACACTGTAAAGTGAATTGACTGTATATTTGTGGGCGAACGCGGCAGCCAATTGCACACAGCAATGTCCCACAAACAGTCGTAGATTGAAAATGACTAATTTATTATTGTTTTTGGTTTTGGAGGGATTATTATTAGGCTCTGTGTGGAGTAAGGAAACTTGCCCAAGGTTTCGCCCTCTGCCTGGAATTGAACTCAGGTCTCTCACTTGCAAAGCGAGTGCTCTAACCACTGAGCTACAGGACTCCACGTAGAAGGACAATTTGGGGAGGCGAGTGCGGAGCAGTACGTTTTGATGTAGTCCAGCCAGATCTGCCAACATCAATTCCTTGATGAGAGCTAACTTTCTTCAGCTGAACGTCAACAAGACCGAGGCTCTCCTGATTTGCTCCTGTCAGCTCCTCCTCACTTCATGCACTGACAGCATCACCATCCATGTTTGCACACTCCACGTTGCTAAGGCAGTCTGGAACCTTGGGGTCTTGTTTGACCTTCAACTAACCTTTCTACCCTATATCTACGCCATGACTCGCTCTGCCTTTCCCACCTCCACAACGTTGCCCGACTCCGCTACTATCTCACACTGCAGCCGCCGAAACCCTCATAAACGCCTTCATTACATCGAGGCTCAACTATGCAAACTCATTGCTTGTCGGCCTCCCCAACTCCCCTCCCTCCACAAGCTGCAGATCATCCAGAACTCTGCAGCCCATGTCCTCTCTCTCACTAGGCTCCGCAACCCTATCACCCCCATCCTCGCCCAACTCCACTGCATCCTATCACACAGAGGATACAGTTCAAGATCCTGGTCCTCACCTTCAAAGCCCTCCACGGTCTTGCTCCCTCCTACCTCTGCGATCTCCTGAACCTCTGACACCCTGTTCACTCCTTCCACTCAGCGGGCTCCAGCCTGCTTCATGTCCCCCGCCTTGCTCACCTCACTATTAGCCGGCGCGCCTTCTGCCCCTCTGCCGCCACCCTCTGGAACTCCATCCCGCAGTCCCTCTGCCTCGCCCCCTCCCTTGCCACCTTCAAGACCCATCTCAAGATCCTCCTCTTTGGCCATGCTTTCGATCTCCCTGCTTCCCCCCCTGCTCGTGTTCGTAACTGTCTGTACAGCACCTTGGGACATGTTCCTGATGTGTAAGGCGCTTTACAAATGTAATTGTTGTTGTGGAGTAGAGTGAGCGAGGAGGATAAATCAGTGCAGGAGGTAGGCCAGAGGGTGAGGAGTTCAGATGACCCTAGGGCAACAAAGAGGGATTGCAGGGAGATTTTTTTCAATGGGTGGTAGGAGATGGAGGTGGGTTGGGTGGCGAGGGGGTTGAGGAGTCAAAGGAGATTAAATGGTGATCGGAGATGGCTTTGTCTGTGATTGTGAGGTCTGAGACTTGGCGGTCCCGTGTAATCACCAAGTCGAGAGGGTGGCCATGAGCGTGGGTAGCAGAGTGGATGTGGAGGGAGAGGTTGTGAGAGGAGAGAAGTCCGAGGAGATGGAGCATGAAGCGGTGAAATGAAGGTTGCAGTTAAGATTATTATATTTTATTGTATTACATCATTATACTTTATATGATATTATTATACTTTATATAATAGGAGATCCCTTTATTAGTCTTTATTAGTATAAAATAGATGTATCTCTCTAGAAGGATGTGTGATTTTCTCTGTCGCTACTTTGTTGCAGAATATCATGCATACCTCATATTTTGTGGCTTAATTAAAACANTTTTTAAATATAGTTCATCAATGATGGGAGATCCCAAAACAAAATATGCCCATGACACTCCCCCATGCAAGACCGGTCCAATGTGGTATACATCATGTCTCGACGTCAATCCGTTATTGCGTTATTGGCAGACACCCAGACGCATAGACATTTTGTCTTTATCAGAATAAAGATAATTCTATCCCCTCCCCCTCTCAATCTAATACAGATCCTTTGGTTTCCCTTGAAGATGCAAATTAAATGGGTGTATACCAGCTATGAAAATGAGTTTTGAAACCCTGACACACCAGAGTTCCTGCTCAGAAAAACAAGTCGATACCAACACGATGCTTTGAACAGTCAAGAATATTAAAACCAAAACACAAAATCTTGAAGAGTATTACGATTCCTAACTAATCTTTTCAAACTGCAAACTGTCAACTTTGTACCCTTGCAGAGGCCATAATGATTGTAGCGCAATATTTATTTTCATCTGCAGTGTCTAGATTGGCTTCATGCCCTCAGTAGCCACCATTCACTCCCAAAACTTCCATTTACTGTAAAGTGAATTGACTGTATACTTAATGGGTAGCAGAGAGGTCGATTTAGGTTAATGCTTTTGTAACTGTAAGTGAAAGTCTTCAAACACGATGGGAAAAAAGGTTGTGCGGGGTTTAAATTAAAAACGTTCAAAGTAGAATCCATCCAAAGCCTTTTATTGACGCACAGCTTAAAAACAAAACAAGAAACCCGCCCAAATCACACCTAAATTACTACAAGTGTCGTAAATCCGAAGCAAAAATAATATTATTATTATTATTGTTAAGTCGGAACAAAAACAGAAGAAACTCTCCCAGTCTGGCAACACCGAACATAAAGTGATGATCAGATCAGGGCTTGGCAGAAATTTAAAAACCGCTTGTGGATCAAAGTCACCCAAACACTAACCCCAGAGCTGCCCCATTATTTACTGTGCGTTTCCTCCTAAATTCAGGCACTTTTGAAACTGTGTAAGTAATAATAATAATAATAATAATCCTTGCATTTGATATAGCGCTTTTCACGTCGGGAGGACGTCCCAAAGGCTTCACAGAACACACTGTAAAGTGAATTGACTGCATATTTGTGGGCGAACGCGGCAGCCAATTGCGCACAGCAATGTCCCACAAACAGTCGTAGATTGAAAATGACCAATTTATTATTGTTTTTGGTTTTGGAGGGATTATTATTAGGCTCTTCAAGTGCGGAAACGTTTAAATTAAAATAATTGCAAGTAAAGGCACCCGCACAAAACAGTTGTTTTTTTCTCTACACATCCGCATTACAACAAAACCCGTCCCCCCACCCCCCACCCCAGAAAAAAATGGGATTCAAATTCAAATAAATTCAAATAAAGTGAACTTGTAGCCCAAAGTCAACCGAACACCAGCTTTGCCTCCTAATGGTTTGCAGAGTGACCGGATTTAGGTCAGCGCTTTTGAAACCGTGCAGGTAAAGATCTTCAAAGAGGGTGTGTGTGTGTGTGTGTGTGGAGGTTTTTTTTTGCCAAGATATCAACCCCCCCCCAAAAAAAATGTAAGTCATGTCTTGACCAACAGCCACAGCGGGGAAAAAAAAAGGGCAAATACAACGCAACATAACCCGCCTGATCCGACAAGACTGAACTGCAGTGGACGACGGTGGGGGGGGGGAGGGGTGGGGGGGGGGGGGGGGGGGGGGGGGAGGGGTGGGGTGGGGTGGGGGGAGAAGATAAAAGGTAGAAAATATGCGCGGCCAAAGCTTAACAATTATATAAAATAAAAGGCCGGTTCTCCAGTTGGACTGCGCCACAGAAATCGATCCTTACCTCTCAAAAGACGACCCCATCGTTCCTCAGCGGCACCTCCTGAGACACTGCGGGCCCGAGTCCCTCCATAGCCATCCTCACGGGGGGAGGGAGGGAGGGAGGGGGAGGGGGGAGGGGGGGTGTGTGTCGGGTTTACTATTAGATAACAATTTATTTACACAAATGCACACACATTGCCCCCCCCCGCCGCCGCCCGGCGGCACACACGCGCGTAATGGTAACACATCAGATTTTCTCTCGTTCTTCTTCTTCTTCTCCTTCTCCTCCTCCTCGACAAAAAAAATCTGACAACAGTAACGAGGAGCGGAGAGGCAGAGCAGAGCACAGCCGCGCCCACACCGACTGGGAGCAACTCGACGCCAAGGCACTGATGGACGGGGCAGGAGGATGAGGATGAGGGTGAGGGGGTGGGGCGGGGGGGGGGGGGGGGGGGTGGGGCGAGCGCGTGAAGCGGGACGAAAAAAACCGTCAACGGTCACTCCGGTGCGCGAGGAGATGGTGATGACTCCCGCCCCCTCGTCACCGCGCTTCACTCCCCGTGATTGACGGCGCCGTCGGCCAATAGCGGCGGTGACTCCGGGAAGCGGGGGGCGGGCACTGCGATGGGGGCGTGTCCTCCGCCGCCCACCCCCCCCCCCCGCGATGGAGCCGCTCCTCTCCCGAGGTCCCACAGGAGCAATGGAGTGCAGCTTGTGCTCCCCCCCCCCCCCTCCCCCTCTGCCATCAGAGGGTGAACATCACAGGATCGGTTTCACGCAATGTAACTGACACTGCGGGGAATCAATCCTGTGTTTACGGGGACGTGGCAGTGCAGCTTGAACGCCCTGTCGTTTTCATGGCGGACAATGAGCCGTCGCTGCTACTTGAATGGAGAAGGGAGATTTCTCCCGGTGTCCCGGGCAACAATTCCTCCACATCAAATTGGTCAATCACTTCATGGCTATTTGTGGGATATTGCCCCCTCCCCACCCCACCGCTGTGACCTGCTGACCCCGTATCAACCCGTCGGCCCCCTCCGCTGCTCAGGCTGATTAACGTGACTCAGCCCCTCTGCCCCCACCCTATGGCCCTCCATCCCACAGCCCCGTCCCCTCGCCCCCTCCCTCGCCTCCTTCACGGCACGTCTCAAAGCCCTTCTCGTCCACCGAGCCTTCGGCCGCCCTCCCCGATCCCAACCCCCAGGGTACAAATCCCTGATGTCCAGCGGAGGGCGCGCCTGGGGACGTCCTCCCGACATGAAAGGCGCTATACAATATAATTTTGTATTGTAAGCCCGCTAAAGCAACAAGACAACAAAAATAATTTGCATTTATATAATGCACTTCACACGTGAAAGTCGCTTGGAGCGCAGTACAGAGGTGGGAATGAATGGCAAGCAAGGGCAACGGGGAGATAACCATAGGCGCGCTATAAGCTGTAGGCCTTCAGATGAGATTTAATGACAGATAAAGAGGGGCCAAGGCAAAGGGATTGAGACAGGGAGTTCAAGAGGTCAGAGCCATAGTGATTAAAGGCTTGGGCGAAGATGGTAGCATGAAGGAATCTGGGGCGGCAAAAGGTTTGTGTTAGTTGAGCAAACGGGGCCCAGGTTCAGGGTTGGGAAGTTCAATTACAGGGCAGACACCAGGACGTAATAGTAATGATAATAATAATAATGCATTTGATATAGCGCCTTATCTCAAAGAGATTCACAGAATAAACGCTGCCGCGTTTCGCCCACATTGATTGTATATTTTGTGGGCGGAACGCAGCAGCCAAATGCACACAGCTGTGTTCCACAAAAAGTCATGGATTGAGTGCCAAATTATTATAATTTTTTTAATGGATTTTTATTATTATTAATCCTTGTAAATAGTTGGGATTATAGATAAGAATCATTAGTATTGATCATGTATTGAATAGATGAATTAAGTAGAATGAATTAAAGGAATAAAAACTGCCATGCGACACAAGAAGAGAGGAAAAAAAGAGCTGCGGGAAGAGCCACGGGACGAGACTCGGAAGAGCCTTGAGAGGAAACTCGGAAGAGCCTCGCGAAGCGCCTCTGAGGAATCTCTGGAGAGCCTCTGGAGAGTCTTTGAGGAGCCTCTGAAGAGAAAGGTAGAAAGAGGAGAAAGGGAGAAAGAGAAGCGGGTAGAAGGAAAGAGGATAAGTCCAGCTCTCGCCGGAGTGGACCGCAAAGAGGACAAGTTCAGCCTTAGACGTTTGCAGCCAGCAGCAAACATTTAATTTAAAAATTAAACAGTGTTTAATTTTTGTGCCAACCTTAGAACTTCCATCACGATTTCCTGCCTGCTTGATTGTGTGTCTCCTACTTACTAAAACACACACCTAACATACATACAAAACAGTTAGAGATGATTTAGGACATTTCATATATCACATAATTTTTTTATATATGTTTAGAATTTTAGTATTGAGTGTATTTTGTTAAGTAGTAATTTAGTAAGCTTTAGTAATGCATCTTGTTAAGATAGTGCTTTAGTAGTCATTTTAAGTGCGACTAGTAATGATAATGCGTCGGGTGTAATGTAATGTTTATGCTTGTGTGGTTTTATATTTGCTAACAAAACGTTTTAATAATATCCTTGGTGTGGTTTCTGACAAACGCTTGAACCCCAAAATTTCACATCCTCCCAGAAAAGCAATCCCCACCAATCGACTAACAACCGGGTTGCTACTTACTGCTAGTTAAACAGATATGTGTATAGTAAGGAATCTTACCCAACATTTCACCCTGTCCTGGAATCAAACCCAGTCCTCTCGCTTGCAGGCGAGTGCTCTACCACTAAGCTACAGGACTCTTCCACCTGTAGGTTAGTGGTTAGTCCCCACTTTATTGCCTCTAACGTTTTTTCCTCCAGCCCCCATACTGTCACATCTGGCATCTCCCAGGGTTCTGTCCTTGGCCCTCTCCTCTTTAATATCTACATCATCCGCAGACAAGGGGCCAACTTCCATATGTATGCGGATGACACCCAACTCTATCTTTCTGCCTCCACCCTCAACTCCAGGACCACTGCTGTCCTGACAGACTGTCTGTCGGACATCAAGTCCTGGATGAGGGTAAATTTCCTACAGTTGAATGTGAACAAGACTGAGGCCCTCCTGATTGGCTCACGCCAGCGCCTCAGCATCTCAGGCTCTGGCAACATCAACCTCCATGGTTGCACACTTCAACTCACCAAACCAGTCAGGAACCCAGGTGTCTTGTTCGATCCTCAACTGTCTTTTCTCTCCCACATTCAAGCCATGACCCGCTCTACCTTCCCTCACCTCCATAACATCGCCTGACTCCGCCACTACCTAACCTCAGGCCGCTGAAACTCTTGTTCATGCCTTCATCACCTCCAGGCTCAACTAAGCAAATGCCCTGCTTGTCGGCTTTCCCAACTCCTTCCTCCACAGGCTGCAGATAATCCAGAACTCTGTAGCCCGTGTCCTCTCCTGCATCAAACTCCATGACCCCATCCCCCCAATTCTCGCCTGACTCCATTGGTTCCCTATCCTTCAGAGGATCCAGTTCAAGATCCTGGTCCTCACCTACAAAGCCCTCCACTGCCTCTGTGACCTCCTAACCCCCTACCAACCTGCCAGTTCCCTCCGCTCAGCCGGTTCTGGCCTGCTCCACGTTCCCTGACCCACCCGCCCCACCATTGGCGGGAGGGCCTTCAGCCACTCTGCCCCCAACCTCTGGAATTTCATCCCCCAGTCACTCCGCCTCACCCCCTCCTCAGCCTCCTTCAAGTCCCGCCTCAAGACCCTCCCTTTTGACCATGCCATCGGCCACCCCCCTTCCCCTCCCCTCCCGATATCAAATGCAAGAATTATTATTTATTATTTTATTGCTGGCTGAAAGTAAGGGAGAGATCTGCTATCCTGTGTGAAGTGTATTATATAAATGCAAGTTGCATGCACTTCAATAGATTCAATTCCACTATACCCTATGGGTTCTCAATTTTGCTTAGTTTTCTCTCTTAACAAGCGAGTTGGTGTTTACTGTAGCCGTGTATCAAGACTAATGAATTATAGAATTATACAGCACAGAAGGAGGTCATTCGGCCCATTGTGTCTGTGCCGATTCTTTGAAAAGAGCTATCCAAATCAATCCCACTCCTCTGCTCTCTCCCCATAGCACTGCAAACTTATCCTCCCCAAATAATTATTTTCTCTCTTAAAAGTTGTTATCGAATCGGCTTCCACTACCCTTTCAGGCAATGCATTCCAGATCCGAAAAACTCGCAATGTGAAAAAATTTCTCCTCACCTCCCCTCCGTTTCTTTTGACAACTATTTTAAATCGGTGCCCTTGGGTTACTGACCCACCTGCCAGTGGAAATAGTTTCCCCTTCACCGTATTGAACGCCCTCATAATTTTCAACACCTCTGTTAAATCTCCCCTCAACTTCCTCTGCTCCGAGGAGAATAACCCTAGCTTCTCTAACCTTTCCTGATAACTGATGTCCCTCATTCCTGGTACCATCCTAGTAAATTTTCTTTGCACCCTCTCCAATACCTTGACATCATTCCTGAAGTGTGGTGCCCAGAATTGAACACAGTACTGAGGTCTAACCAATGTTTTGTACAGGTTCATCATAACTTCCTGACTTTTGTATTCTATGCCCCTATTTATAAAGCTTAGTATCCCGATTGCTTTTTTAACAGCTTTATCTCCCTGTCCTGCCACCTTCAAAGATTTACTTATATGACCTCCAGGTCTCTCTGTTCCTTCACCCCCTCTAAAATTCTACCATCAGCTTATATTGCCTCTCCTCATTCGTCCTCCCAAAATGTATCACTTCGCATATCCACAACAAAAACAACAAAGTTACATTTATAGAGCGCCTTTTACGTCGGGAGGACATCCCAAAGCACTGAAAATATCTCCACATTAAACTTCATCTGCCACCTGTCTGCCCATTTTACTATGTCCTCTTGCAGTCTGCTACTATCCTCCTCACTGTTTACTACTTTTCCTAGCTTAGTATCATCTGCAAACTTGGAAATTGTACTCCCTATATCCAAGTCCAGGTCATTTATATAGATCAAAAACAGCAGTGGTTCCAAC